ATATAATTTACGTAGTGATTCCTTGGGTAAAAAAAAAGAAAATCAGGAATAAAATTTTTCTAAAATAACTTTTTAACTACATATTCGCCATTTTGTATTTTTTACATAAACATTTTAATCTTTGATTTTTTTCAACCGATATTTATTAAGTTTTGAACACATGTTGAGTCAGAAGAGACCCAAAAAACATAATTTTGACTCAATTTAAAATTTCAAAATGGTGGCCATTAAATTAATCGAAAATGACTGATAAAAAAATCAAAAACGCTTTTATTCAGCATTTATGATTCCCTATCAAACCATACCAAGACTGAATAAGAAATACTTGAAATATTACGAATTTTAGATGTAAAATGGGCTAGAATAATGCTAAGCTAGTCAGGTCAGTTTGTCCCATTTTACAACTAAAAATCGTAATATTTATGTCATTTCTTAATGGATATTTTTGAACTTGGTATCGTTTGATAGTGAATTAAAATGCTAAACAAAAGTATTCTTGTTTTCTTTTCATAAAATCAGCCATTTTTTGTAATTTAAGTTTAAAAAATTAAAATGGCTGCCATTTTTTAATTTCAAGTTGAATCAACATGTTTTTTTACATGGGCACTTCTACCTTAACATAAGTACCAAGTTTCATAAAGATCGGTTATGAAAATTCTAAGATAAATAATCACAACTAGTCAGTGCTATATAAAACTGAAACTGAACTGTAAGACTGAACTGGCTTGGGTGATAAAATTGCCAATTTGCTACCAGAAAGATTTGTTCTTACATCTTTATTTTCTAGATTGATTATAACAGTGTCCATTGAAATCAATCAAATCAAATCAAATCAAATCAAATCATTTATTATCATGGACATTTACATGCATTGACATTGTCAGTGGAGCAGAACATAAAATTTCAATGTTCATTGTCTAAATAATCAGAGGTAACTTGGGTATGAGTCTAATAATACATTAATACCAATTATTTTTTTGTAGTTTTTTATTTAGCGTAAGTTAAAAACAAGAGTTATCCCATAAAGCAGTACAGTATGCACTGAGAACAATTTGATAATGAAAGGTATTTTTGTTTATTTGTTTTGTCAGGTTAACGTATTTTTTTTCAATTATACGTTTATTCACACCTAAGATTTTCCTAGCTGTAGTCTTATTAAAAAACACATCCACGATTATTTAATCGTTTTGTATGACCGGCCAAAAAAACCTCCCATTCACTTTGACACAAATGTGTTACAATTCGACTCATTTTAATTGGAACAGATTTTACATGGTTTTATTTTAGTCTTCGTACGATGAAAATAAAAATTGTAACCGCTGAACAGTTAAAAAACGTAATAAGCTTCATACGAATATGCAAACACAACAGACATTCCGTATATTATACTAAGCAAAATAGTTATTTCAGTATTTCTTTAAATTACCAGGCTACCGAAAAAAACGTGAAACGACATAGCCAAAAATTAATTTAGGTACAATGACACTGTTCAAACATTCTCTGTTGATACATTTTATGTTCTACTTCCCAGAAAAATCACATTTCCCAGAACAAAGGAAAAGAAACTACATAAACTATATTCAGCACGTAGTTATGTAAATTGTATTTTGTTATCTAATCCATAACATCTGGATGGAAAACAAACAAATTTGCCAGCTTCGTGACATACAACAGTTCTAGTCGTGTTCAGCCCCTAGGCCAGTTGGCGCCACCTGTTGGTGGATACGTGGCCTTAACTTTCCTCATTTAACATTTAACCTGCATTCTGATCCGATCATCAAATTTTTTTGACACATTAGTAATTTCTCTATTTCTAGTCACAACTACGAGTACCATGTGACATATTAAGCTATATTTTCCAGTATTGCAAGTAAGAATCTTTCGGGTATAAATTATACTTTTTATTTTATATGGTATAAATATTAGCTGTTGTACCAGTGCTTTGCAACATGGAGAGGAGGTGAAAACATTAAATATTTACATATGTTGTATAAAATATGGACTTCTACCAACTCTTTTAGAAACAAAAATTAACCATACTTCTTAATTTCATATATTCTAACTCATAATAATTGAACGACGGGATGGAAAGTAGACTTCTGGTTGCCTCCAAGTTATTCAATGATAAATAAAAAATAATCGTTGTTGCTAAATAGGCAAACCCCCGCAAAATTCGTTCTAATATTGAATCTTACTTATTTAACAAATCAATGACACAATCTAGAGTAAATAAACCTTGTTTCTATTTGTTTCAATCAGCTGTGTGGAATTCCTTTAAAAGCCTTACCTCAGAACTTTAAAAGCCCGCGGGTCAGGGCCCTAAGTTAATATTGAAGCGTTAAAAGGTCTAAATTGCTCCTTGGTACTGTAGCTATATATTTGTGAAAATTAAGTCTAAGTGGTTCATTAATTTTTCTCGTACAAATAGATATTCAAACAAAAACCACCTCTTCTTTACAATATTATTATTATTACGATGGATTAATGACTTGCTCTTAAGCTGATCAAAGTAGTGCAAAAGTAAAATTGAAAATAAAGCTTCCCATTTCTGGTATAGTACACGTATTTCATTTGTATACAGTTTGTAAAAATATTATAAGAGAAGAGGCTGTAGTGGAAAGAAATCATGTTTATTCCTCATATTTTTCTATCTAAACGTAGAAGTATTGTTGTGTTCCGAATGCAACACAAATGTAACTCCAGTGAGGCGTAAAATATACAAAACCTAAAAGTTTCCATGCAGGAGCTTTTTCAAGAAGTTCGAATTACATGATCCGGGTCTTGTAAGTTTGTCTCGGGTTTCTCTTGAAATATTAGAGATATTGTAATAGAATTTTTTATCAAATCAGGTATTAAATATCAAATGTAACATTTTCTACCATCAATCTTTCTGAAATTATGTTTCTGTTTACATCGTTAAGTTATAACCACTCGAAATAAAGCTCTTAATTGCTTATACTTAAATACATTGGCAAAATAGTTTTGTATACTTATCTTAATTTCTTACTACAAATATAGTACAGTTCAAAAATGTTCTCAACATTATTTTGTGTATGTATACAACAAGTATGCAACGTCCTTAAATGGCATTCATTTAAGAGAAAGAAGAATTATATAGCCAAAATATATGAAACTTTGATAGGAAAGTGTCATTTTGTTGTCAAAACACAGAAAACGTAGACTTCTTACAAAAGCTTTGTTGCTGAGCACAACATTGAGTACTTTGTCTTCATTAACCAGCATAAACAATATATCTCCTCATGCCACTATCCCATCAACTACGTCAGGGCGAGGAGAAAATAATTTTTATAGTGGAATTGAAATTATTGTTGTGTATGCTACAGCTGTCGAATTCCGTATAAAAAAATTTAGACTAAGATAAAATGTAGGGCGAAATGAACTTTATTATTAAACAGAATTAATTATTTCAAGCTCACACATTACCCTGCAGTTTATAGTTTATAGCACTTAAAGGAAGGGGTAAAAAGCAATATAAAAAAGCAAAGAAAGGGAATTATCATATAGATAACATGACATTTATTACAAAAAAATATATACTATATCGACAACCCTTATGTGATACTACAATATCAAAATGTATAACACTAGTAAAGTAAATTTCTCATTCCTAATAGCTCGAGTTTATTTCAAGTACCGTTTGGGGAGGGGAATTTACATCAGAAGCAAAAACACAATTGTATTTTAACTTGAGCGTATTTAGATAAGAGCACATGGTACCCTGAGGAGCTGTAAGTGTACTGAGACACAGACCAGTGACGTAGTGATACGATCAATAGAACATCCTCTCCGTGACGTCAGATACCCCCACCACCTCCACCCCCCACCACAAGCGCCCCCCACTCCACTACCTCTCCAGCACTCTGGCTGCATTTATCACACGGAATTAATTGTGGTTTGGAACACAGTGGGTGGAATTGCGAAACACTCCGCTAACCATTACGATGATTTACGTATTTCAAGCAAGCTAGAATTATTTATGTTTTCCCCCAGAAAACTGAAGAATTAGAGTAAAAGTTTATTTTACGTACGTAAGACCTTAACCTACGTCAAGGAGTATAAAAATATCCCTTTTAATATATTTATATGACGGTTATAACAGATTGTTATAGTTAAATTACTACATCTTGTCTTTTAATATGGTATATATTCATTATAATTTTGGATCTAAGTGTTGTGTGTTTTAATTAAAATGAACAAATAAACATGTGTACGAGATGAAGTCAATTAGCTTCCATGAAAACATTTATACATTTTGTTTACTGACCAAAATAGTTCACCAACATTTGATTTAAAAACACTGCATAAAGAGTATTACCCAATATAAAAGTCCCATTTGGCTGTCAAAACACAGGATAGTAGACATCTTATGAAAGCTTTGTAATAGCTGAGCATACCATGTGTTGTTTGTCTTCAATAACCAGCATAAACAATATATTTCCTCATGTCATTATTTCATCTACTACATCAGGGCTTACGAGACAATAATTTCAAAGGGGTAATAATACTTATCATAATATCATTCGATGTATTGACATTTTTGAATAGGTTGCAGCTGTCAAATTCCGAAAGAAAAAAATCAACTAGGATAACTCATAGGAGAAATAAATGTGCTTGATAAACAGAATCAATATTTTCAGGGTCAGACTTCAATTACTAAGTTAATGCATAGCAAGCAATAATCAGCATTGAGCTACAATGTTTTTAAAGCAAAAATAGACTGTCTACTATAATGCAGTAATACAACTGTAAATGTTACGTTAAATTACACGTTGTGTTATATGTGTCATAACCCCTGCATGATCAGACATAATGTACAAGATAAAGATAGCTTCCTCCTATATATAACCCTTCAACATGCAACAACAATCAACAAATTATTGATACATGACGTGCATTCGCTTGTTAATGGTAATATATCATTATATTGGATATCATTATGTAAATGTACCGGTACTGACATTTATTTTTACTTGTTACAGCTTAGCAAGGACGTGGGATACGTGCTCTACTCAGCGATGGGATCATTCTACATACCAAGCTGCATCATGGTATTTGTCTACATCCGCATCTACTACGCAGCCAAGGCCCGAGCTCGGAGAGGCATCCGCAAACCACAACAGAGGCCCAAGCCCTCGCAAGAGGCCCAGAAGTGCACGAGCTTCTCCAACCCCGTGCCTGCAGGACAAGTCCAGAGTCCTGTGGACCGTAACTCCAACAACTCACCCATCGCAGTCACCTTGGAGTCCAAGCCAGTGCCGATTCCCATAGTGACGTGCGATTTCGCCTCCGATATAAGCACTAGTGATAACGCGGAGGGCCCCCAGGACCCGGGTGGTGGAGAACCTATAAAAGATACTCTTAAAGTCGGGAGTTTAAAGATGCAAGCGGCGCAGTTCAAGGGGTCAACTCTGTCCGTGAATGGTGACCTCGCTGCTATGTCTCGGTGTCGAGCGCCTAGTGTAGGAATTGACCCTGACATGGTGTCGGAGTTCGACCCTTCCTCTTCGGACTCAGGAGTGGTGCAGAGGTGCGCGGTAGTCAAACCACTCAAGCTGCGTTTCTGCAAACCCATATTTGGGAGGATGAAGTCTTCCTCTAAGGCCAAGAGGGAGACGATAGATATGGGTAAGGTGGCGTCGCAGCAGGACATTCATCACCAGGAAGTGCCACGGATACAGAAGCCTCGGGATCCCGAGCGGGAAAAACGAAGGATAGCGAGGAAAAAGGAGAAGAGAGCGACGCTGATCCTGGGCCTGATCATGGGCTCCTTCATCGCCTGTTGGCTGCCCTTCTTCTTCCTCTACATCCTGACTCCTCTGTGCAGTGTGTGCAATATCCCTCCACAAGCGTTCTCCGTCGCCTTCTGGCTGGGGTACATGAACTCCGCCCTCAATCCTGTCATATACACCATCTTCAACAAGGACTTCCGCAGAGCGTTCCGCAGGATTCTTTTTAAGTGATGACGGTTTGTTGGCGTTAGACTAACTCATCTCTCTTCCCGAGCTAAGTCTGTAAGTGAATCCTTAGTTAAATTTAGCATACGAGTGTGCTTCTTTTGTAACAGTTTTTAATTGACTTTTACTTAAATAATGAAAATGTTGTTACATTGATATATTTTTATAACCTAATCTAACTTTAATGACGTATGAAATATAGTGAGTTAATTTATTTTCTACGGAACAGTTTAGTTTTTAAGTATTTAAAATTCACGATTATGGTTGATTTTATTGAAATATGGAGGTTTTTGTGTGTTATTTATAGTTTTCTTTTATAAACAGTGAATACTTCAAAATATCTCTTGGGAAATTGCATCCAACAATTTAATATTTCCATTGAAATATTAATCATTATTGATTGAAATCAAAATTTATCTAAAATTTACAACATAAAGTTCAGAATAAATTTAAATTCATATTGATGTTATTTGGTCCAGGATCACTTCTTGAATATTAAAATGGTATAATATTACCTGCCTCCGTCTGTGATCCTTATGACGCTTATTCATAACATTATTATTATAAGCATCATAAGGATCACAGACGGAGGCAGGTAATATTATACCATTTTAATATTTAAATTTAAATGCTGAAACTTCAGTAACTGATCCTCTAACGGTGTAAGTAGTTACGATTTTAAACTATAACAGTACAAATAAGCCATGCATCCATAACAGAATTATAAAAATACTCATAATAACTCACCAAATTAGAAGTAATTACCTTCTTATGACTTCTAATACTGTATAGAATATTTCAAAATGGATTTTAACAATGCAAACACGCTTTATTTGGTGAATTTGTGTCTGAATTACTAGTTTCAGAAATCTAAAATAATCTACAAAAATAAAAATCCTCTGAAACAATCTGTTTATGAAAATTTCATATATCGAAGTCTATTTAGAAGTATTCGTTGTTGAGTATGACTTTCACTATTGTAAGTTCCTCTATTAACAGGTGAAGTATTTAGATCTATTACTGTTTAGATCTACCCTTGCGCAGAGTAACGATATAGAGGCGCAGGACACTTGTAGCCCTTTGGTGACTATTTGATGTATGATAAAATTACGTTTTAGGATGATTTACTTTCTAATTATAATTTAACGGAAATAAATATTGTAAATAGTGTGAATATTAGAAGGTTGCATTTAATGGTTCATGTAATTTACGTTCATTTATTACTATGATGCATTAATCAGTGGACTACAAATGTGATAAAACAACTTCAATAATAAAAATACTTTTTACTCTAACAGTTTTTGAATTTAGCATTTGGGTATGGTAATGATCGGATTTTTCAACCTTTTTTGTATAGCAATATCTTTTTTTGAGGATACAAAATACCTATATGTTCAAATGACACAAACATATTTTATATTCTTTGTAGGACAACTGGTACATACAGATAAATTAGAAAACTAATTTATATATAAAAACCAAAACTTTTAGATTTTTTTAAATTTGAAAAACAAATTAAATACGATTGATGGAATTTAACGTAAATATATTAAATTAAACTAAATCAAATATTTTTTTTAGTTACCGTAAAACTACTTTTAAAGAAGGTATCCAATTCTGTGTAAAAGTTTAAATCTGCAATTAATTATAGATCAACAACCACTGAGTTCAGTTCGTTTTCATTGGTTTTATTCTTAAATAGAGTTGGTATAGATGGGTTCAATGGATGCTAGTGTTTATATTTATTAGTTAAAAACGTTATTATTGAAAAGTGGTCCTCAATAGCACGTTAAAATACTATTTATGATGCACTCATTTTCTATTTTGGAAAAATTATTTTAATACGTAAAGAATTACATTATTTAATTATCTTTTTGGATGTTTCACATTGCTTATTACAATAGTTTAGTTCATTAGGTTACTGTATTGGAAATTGTGTTATGTTAAGTCATTCAAAGTTCAAAGTGATATTATTTTATTGTTTTAAAAAGTTACTTTCTAACATTATGAACATATTATTCTACATGTCATGATACGTACATTTTACACATCAGAGATATTCGGGATTGTTGTTATGTTTGTTTAGTTGAATGTTTAAAATAAGAAATTATTACAGTACAATTAAGTTTTATTTAGTTCTTGTTATTAGTTCATTTAGTAATTAGTAGTTGGCCCACAATATTGACCCAAAGAGTTTTATGAGATCATTTTTTACAGGTATACTCGAATTATATGTCAAAATGATAAATATTTTGATAAGTTAAGTTAAACGATGTTTTATTACTTTTCACTGATAACCTAGAAACTTTAATACATTCAGCACATTTGAAACGTTAAAAGTGATAATGTTTGAAAAAAACATGTTATAAAGAAACAACAACAGTTGAACACACTACCAACCAAATAACTTAGGAACACGTAATGATTTAAAAGATACATTAGGATATAACTAGTTATATTATCAAATAACAAATTAAAATCCAATGTTTATTCAAAGATCCTGACCCATCAGGATATACACTTCGCTAGCAGATTATTGGTGCCACAGTTGAAAGAGGCTTTTAAAAATCAAATCAGATGGAACTCAAAACATATAAACATGATGAAAAGAAAATGTTAAATGATGGTGGAAAGGCAGTTCACTGGGTTCGCTTTTATAAATCACCAAAGGAATCCAATCAAGTGATTTTCCGGTTTATTTTAAAACCTTTCACAATACGTCATTCAAACCTAGATGATAAATAACAATATAAAAACCATGAATAATGACATGATGGGCTCTAACTTTTACATTTATTCTAAAACCTTTACTGACATACTGTACCTATGACATATTTTTATATCCTAAATAATTTCCCTCAAACATCTACCGGTACATATTTTACAACACTGGTCAACAATATGGAAGTGTTTAACGTATAACCTTGGTTAACGTACAATATAAACCTTCAATGTATACCTTTAATTTGGGCAAACAATTATAAATGTAATGTATCTGAATAAAAACAAGTACTTTTTTGAAAGAACAAGTTTTTGTTTCTAAATATGGGTTTTTAGGTTATTTCAAATGTCTGTGAATAATATGTATGTACAACTCATCTAGTTTGTTTTTATGTTTAGGACCCTCAACAATGAAAGTAAAAACTCAAACAAATATTTTATTTTGAATTTACTAATTAGCTTATGAATGAATGTAAACATAAATTTTATATTTGTTTAGTTTTTCCAACAAACTACCAAAATTTAAGGCACTGCTGGCACAATCAGTTTTCTGTTTGAAAATCGTTTGTTAAAAATCTATATGAAATAGTAATCCTAATTTATTTTTGTACAGCATCGTTTTTCTGCAGTATATTCTCCTAATATTTGAAAAGAACAAAAGCAAAATGCCTTACTGTATGATATGTAGTAGGCTGGTCGAAGGAGGTTATTTACCTGTACATAAGCATACAATATTCCTACTCATTTCTGGTTCATACTGTGTATATAGTGCTGTCTTCCACAATATTAACATGTCTATGTTTCGATATTTAGAGAACAAAATGTCTAAATGTTGTTAACCATTGACTTTTATACTGTTGGTGTTGTTTGTACTTTGACAAATTTTATCGAAAGTTAAGGCCGAGTTTATTTTGAAACGGCCTGGTACCCTGGTCAATTAATTTATTTCTTTATTTTCAGCACCTGAATTGGTTCTGTATTTTTATAATTAGATATTTTATTATTTTTTTAACTTAAGATGGTATACAAATTAAAATATTATAACTTACATAGTATGTTCAATAGAATAGCATTTGATTTGATGGTAAGTAAAGACAAACATGTCATTTGTGTTCTTAGTCTAGCAAAGGTTATGTAAAATACTTCAGTTAAATCGTGTACTGTTTTCAAAAATACAGTACTAGTATTTTTTTAATACTAAAAGCGCAAGTTTGTTTATTTGAACAAACAAGAATATTATAAAAGAATGATTGGTAAATGTTAAAAGATATATTAATTATCTAATTTACCTTAAGCAACGCAACTTTGGTTTACAATATAGATTCCACATAAATGTACTTTAAGTATTATCTTGCTGTATTGTTTCGTACTATTTAAGCCAGGGGTCCCAAATTATTTTGGAATTTTTATCCCGTAACTACCACGTACCGTATCAATACACAGGACAGCGGTTTACTACAGTGCTCTCGTAGCATCTGTGCCCGCCGTGCCCTGTGTAGGTTATATACTTATATAGATTCTAACAATGCAAACTCCAATATTGTTAAGTGGAAGTGGGAGTTGTTACAAGTAGTCTAATTAATGTTATAACACTGTACATCAATTGTAACAAAGTCTAAGTAGTCTAGAATACTTTGTATAATAACTGTGAACGTATTCTACAATCAAGGTCCCGTCTTGGACCTACAATATTTTTATCGTATGATGCATTAATTAATTATGTGAATACAACGAATAAAGTAACATAAAACACAAATGTATATTTATTACCTACTAGTTTTTATTGATATCTTATGGATTTTGTTAGTCCACCTGTTTTGCCTTTTGGACTACTATAAGACTCAATACAGAATTTATACATCACATATAATTTACCTAATGATTTTTTATTCATATTTTTGTATAAAGAATAATTTTTGTTATAGAGCAGTATACAGAGAGTACTACAATAATACAAAGAATCATTCTAATATTTTATTTATATTTGTATTAATTTTCTTTTGCTAGCGAAGTTGTTGACAAAATCTATATATTTTACTACCCATCTTTCTAAGCACAGCAATATATATTTTTTGTTATAATCATGAATGAAATGTTTAAAGCAATGCAATGTAAAACAAGATTGAATTATTTATGGTGTAAATATCATAAGATAATTAAAAAGGTTATCGCTAAATATACATCTAATGCATTGATTTGTTTTCGTAAATATCCAGTTTTAATGGAATAAAGCTTAAACGAGTTCTAAAGCAATTGAATTTAATACTCCTACATATTGATAAGACTTTGATTAAAAATTATAAACATAGCACAAAAGATAAAATTGTTTAAACAAAACCATTAATTACTACAAGCACAATTAGGTCGAGTCAAAGAAAGTTTTCTAAATAAAGGCATAAGCAACTGTTTCGATTTTGTTTCAAAGATGTTTGCAGGAGATGTGGCAGGTCGACACGTAGCACTGCCTGGCGGAGCTGGTCGGAACTACGATGAAGTGGCACCACTCTTGCAGGAATGACTGTCACCCTCACTAAACATGATCGGACAGGTGTCATCCCTTGTGCTATCCTCCGCTCCACCTCAGCGAGATTGGAACAGCACATTTATCCTTGATTTATTGCATCACACCTTAGCTATA